ACAGCGGCAAGAGGGAGAAGGGCTCCAAAGGATCCCCCAGCTGGATTCCAGCCCCAAAAGGCTTTTTGGGGCTCAGGGCAGGGGATGGAGGTGAGCTCCTGGGTGCTCCCCATGTGCACCCCACAAATGTACCCAGCCCCAGGGATGTTTGAGTGGGTGCTACATAAACAGTGTTCTTTCACTGGGTAACGAGCAGGTGGGACTGGCAGAGCAAGGGAGCATCCTAAGGGATAATCCCAGCAGGCTGGACAGATATCCTTTTGCCAAGGGAAAGATTCCTGACAGAAGTATTACTCCTGCCCTTAAATGGACAGGGAGCTTTGGCCCACAGGGAGCTCCTCCAGGTTTTTTTTTGTGCTGAGAGATCCCAAGGATTCATTCCCCATCCTGTGCTAGAAACACTCCTGGGAGAAAATCTTTCCCTAAAGCAGGAAAAAAATAAATAAAAGCCTAATCAGAGAAATTGCCAGGCAGCAGGCACGTATATGTCCTTCCCTAGGGAAGAAATACTCCTCCTGGGAGGTGGATCAGGCACAGGGCCTGCTCCCAGGGATGTCATGGGACAGGGCCAGACAGACAGCTCTCAAGGAAGCATTAAAGGGTGCTGGAGCATGGGATTCCCCCAGCCTAAACCCCACGGGTTTTTTTGGACAGCCTGAGCTGTTTCATTTCAGTTCTGCTGTACGAACATCTTCCAGTTTCTTTTTGGTGGAATATTCCACCATCTCTCCTTCTTCCTAAAATCTGGGGTGAAACCAAAGATTTTTTTTCAAGTCAGAAGTGCCAATGTTTGCTCCAGGAGGAGCTCAAAGGTGACCATCTTGACTTCCTTCCATAGGGATGGCAGCTATGGGACCGCTCCAAGTCCCTTTCCACAGTTGTCCTCTGCTCATGCTGCTGCACCCCACAGCTCCCAGGTTTGCCAGGGCTGCTGGATCCCACCTGTGTAGCCTCACTCCTGGTATGTCCCCTCCTGGCTTTTGTTTTTCCCTGCAGGAAGTCTGCTCGTCATTTCTGGTACTCTCCTCTTCCTTGGAAACCATCTCCATCCCACTTCTGGCCTGTCCCTCTCACCTTTGCATCCCACCATCACATTCTGTTGTCCCTGAAATCCTGGGTCTCGTCTTGGGCCAATTTGAGGGATGCTGGAAAGGGTCTGTGGAGTTTTGCTGGGATGGTCAGGGCCAAGGACATGCAAGGAGAGGCAAAGATCTGGGCCAGGGAGTGACTGGGGTCCCCAGAGCATGGATCAAGGATAACCCCAGCAAGGCGAGGTCCTTGCTGGAGCACCAGCAACCTCCTCCTCCCCTTGCTCACATGAAGCCAAGAGCCAGGTTTGTCTCCTGAAGGTGAGGAGGCACCAGGGAGGCATTTCCTTGGCTCGGACCCCCATCAGATGGTGATGCCTGGAGGGACGCCAGGTACCCCAGCAGTGCCCTGCTGGCATGGTCCTGGTCTCGGTGCCGTCCCCGGTGCCCTGCCCTGCCCAAACCACTCCCGGTAAACGTTAACAGGCCGTGGGGCGGCGGGAGGCGTCCGGGTGATTCATCCACGAGGCATTTAATCGCCTCCTTCAGCCCAGCTCCCATCCCTCTCGTCCGTCCGTGCGCCCCTTCCAGCGGGGCTCGCTTTAATTCTCCACCAGCCGATTATCCGCTTGACTGCCCGCCGCAGGGGGAGGCACCGGGAGCGGGAGGGCGATGGCACGGGGCTCTGCCATCGAGCCGTGCAACAGGGCGAGCCGGGCTTCCCCTCCCATTCCCGGCAAAGCGGGGTGCATTCCCGCCCCGCAGGGATTAATCCTGCCATAAATAAGTCTCTTGGCTAATGGAGCGTCTTCCTCGGCTGGGTTTAGATTCCCGGGCTGTGTGTACGCATGCCTTCAGCCCGCAAAACTCCCCGACATAAACAAGGCTGAGGCCGGGGGATGCCGGCTTCTCCGCCCGGGGGATGCGGGAGGAGCGGGAGAAATCTCCCGTAGCTCCCACCCGTAGCCGCTTCTCTGGAAAATCACGGATCTCTCGCGTCCGGTGAAGGACAGGAGGAGAGGAATAGCCCTTGGGGAAAAGCGAGTCCAGAGCTGCCGGGGCTGGAACGAGGAAGCGGCAGAGGAAAAGGCAGCGAGCAGCCAAGGGAGCAGATGGGGGATTGCAACAGAGCGGAGGAGCGGCGGGATCAGGCGCGGGTCACACAAGTCCCTGTCCCGCCTGGAGCTTGCTCCCAAACCCTCCGGACCGCACGCTTCAAGGAGGAAAGGAAGCGAGAGCACGAAGGGGGGGGGGATGCAACACTGGGGCCACGGAGGCAAGTTTTATCCACTCGCTGGGCACATTGCCCCTAGAAATCGTCCCTGGGGTCCCCTCCCCACGGCGCGGTTCCCCCGGGATGAGGGATCTGGCATGGGATGGGGACGAGAGCCACGAGCCGGGCTCTCCGCAGCCACTCCGCTACCAAATAAGGCCTCCGCCGAGCTTTTTACATACCGTTCTCGCCCGGCCAAAGTGACGTGACCGCCTTCCCAAATTGCTCTGGCTCCTCCGTGGGGAAGCCCCTGGCCCACAGCTGCCCTGCACGGGGAGGGTCTTTCCCGGGAGAACAGACGGGAGGGACCGGGAGGCCATCCTGGCTGCCAGGAGCAGTCAGGAGGAGCGGGGATGAAGTGGGGGCTTTTCCCACCCGGCAGCACCCTGACTGAGCTCTCTGGGATGGGGGCTGCCTCTCCCTCTTTTCGGAGGGAGCAGGAGGCTGGAAGGCAAGCCTTGGGATGGAGGTGGTGAGGCACAGTGGCTGAGCAATCCTCTTCGCAGCGCTTGAGCAAATAGACAGCACCGGCTCCTCCAGCCTGGGCTGGAAAAAGTCCTGCAGGGAAAATACCTGCCTGGCAACGGGAGGAGCGAGGCTTGCGGGCGGTGAGTGGGCATCGCCCTCCTCGCGTGTCCGCGGCCCTCTGGGTGTCCCTGGCACCTCCCAGCCGTCCCCTCCGGGGGTTCCCCATGTCCAGCATCCCCAAGGATCATCCAGCCCCGGGCCCTGCGGATCCGACCGGGAGCAGAGCGAGGGTTGCCTTTTGCCAGCACGGCACAGGCCATGCTTTTGGGAAAAGCAACAGGGCTCCACGGCTGTCACCCACGGCCGTGCCCAACGGAGCCGCAGCATCATCTCCCACATACCCCGCAAGGCCACCAGTGGGGAAAACTCCCCGTTATTTAGGAAACTTTGGGAAGCTGGGAGCCGGAACCACCTCTGGAATAAGCAAATGAAGGCAGGCGACAGCGGGCGATGGAGCTGCGGTGATTGATCCCAGCCTCGGCCACCAGCCAGGGAGCCCAGCAGGGACCTGCTGGAGCAGCCCAGCCGGGTGGACGGTGAGGAGGAAGAGGAGATCTCAGATAGAAATCTTCCCGCTCTCACCCTCACAAAGTCCAAATTCCCATCTCAAGGTCACGGGCAAAACCAGGAACTTTCCGGCTGGAATGAAGAAAAGCCGCTCTCACCGTGGCGGGCTGTGGGGTTGGTCTCCCGTGGGGATGGGAGTGTTTTGGACATTTTTGGGGCGAGACTCGTGGGAAAAAGATGCGCGGCCGCCGGATGCACGGTACCCACGGGCACCGGCGGCAGCAGACACCGGCAGCGGGACCGAGGGGAGCCTGGTTTATCCCGCACGCCTCCCGGGGAGATCCGTGTCTCGACTGGGGCTCCCCGCGCCCGCAGGTTCCCTCCGGAGAGGCGGAGGGGCGTTTGCGGGCAGCCCCAGCTGGTCGCCGGCGGTGAATGGGAGCGTCCCGGGAAGCAGGGATGCGCTCCCGCCGCTCGTCCCCGTTCCCCCCGCAGCAGCCCCGGGTACCGGGAGCCGCGGAAGCCGACGGGACGCCCCCGGCGAGGACCCCCGCCCATCCCGGGCGGGTGCGTGGGCCCCAGCGGAGCGCAGCTGCCGGGGATCGCGGGTGGGGAGGGGGAAGCCGGACCCTCTCCTCCCCAAATCCCTCGTGTGTGTGTCCCCCCCGGTACCTCCTCCTCGGGCAGGCTGGTGTCGGCGGGGCCGCCCTCCCTGTCGGCGGGGACGCTGCTCATGGTGCGACCGGCCAGGCTCCTCGTCCCGCCGGCGGCAGCCGCGTCCGGGCGGGCGGTGCTGGGGGCTGGTCCCGGCGGCGGCGGGGGGGCCGGGGCGGGGCGGCGCGGCCGGGGAGGGACGGGGCGGGGGCGCGGCGGGGACGGAGCGGAGCGCGGGGGGGGATGGAGGAGCGGCAGGGTCGGGGATACGGGAGGCGGGCGATGGGACTCGCGATGCGGCGTTGGGACCGCGGGACACGGGGCTGGGGCCGTAGGACGCAGAGTTGGGAATACAGGACGGTGCTGGAGACACGGAACACAGTCCAGGACGTGGGGCTGGGGATACCGGATACAAGGCTGGCGACACGGGGCACAAGAATGGGGAGACGGACACAGCCTCAGAGACATGGGACATGGGCTGAGGGTATAGGACAGGGCTGGGCACAGCCTGTGTGGGAAGGGACACAGTCCTGGGGACACAGAACGCAAGGTTAAGGATACGGGACACCAAGCTTGGGGCACATCAGTGCATCAGGGCTGTGGGGCAGAGGAGGGGACCCCCGATAAAGGGTTGGGGGCAGTGGAAGGACCGGTGGGGGCTCATCACCCCAACCAGCCCCACCTGGGGGCTCAACCCCTCCCCGCCTGGCCCGGGGACTGCATTTAAGCTTCATGCTTAGGCCGGGGGTTTGCAGAGCCTTCGCTGGGCCTGGCATCGTGAGTGCTTCATCCTAGAGCTCGGTGTTGGCGGAGGCTGTGTTCCCGCAGGACTGCGCTCGGTGACCGGAGACCCTCGGGGTGGAGAGCAGCAGCTGCGCCCAGACCAGGCGCTCTCGGGGCCCGGAGGTGACACCGAGGACATCCTGCCCCTGGCACAGAGCTGGCTCCTAGCGGCCGCTTAAGGTCATCGCTTGCCTTTCTGCGCCTCAGCGGCCGAAACAGACCCGGGGGGCTGCTGTCCGCCTGTGCTGCCCATGGAACACAGCCTGGCCGCCCGCAGGTTTGCAGGCTCCCCGCAGCAGCGATTGACAGGGCAGAACCTCTCGCCGGGAGGGAGGTGGAAATGAGCTGCGCCGGCTGGATTTGGGGAAGCGGGAAATGTCTGGCTACAAGGGCAGCTACCTCCCCCAGAGAGAATCTAGAGCACAGAGACCGATCTCGTCACCCAAATCTGCTGGAGCCTCTGACTTCTGGGGTAGATTTTTCAGCAAGGGGAGAATTTAGAGATGTGTTTTATCTCGCATTGTTTTTCCCTCCATAGGCATCTCGACAAAAAGCTCTGGCTGGACAATATTCCCAACCCTTATTTGGACTCAGCTTTGGGGAAGAGCTGCAATTCCCCAGCAGCGCTGGAACCCCGGTTGGAATCACACACCGGAAAAAGGGGAGGTTTGGATTTTTTGTGGCCATGAAACTGGACTTGGGGAGAAAATCCCGTTTGGTCCAGCAGATAGTGCACTGCTTCCTTGCCTTGAAACCCCTGGTCCCAACCCAAAGTCCCATGTCCCATGTCCCACAAAAACTGGGGTTCCTCTGTGGTAGTTGCTGATCCTCTCCCCTCTCTCCCTTCTTCCTACAGGAATTTTTGCTGCATCCATGTCCATCTGTGCTGGGACACAACGCTGGACTGTGTCATAGAGGGACAGAAAGGGAAGTCGTGAACAAGTGGTGACTCTGGAGGGACGGCTGGGAAGAGTGGCTATTCCCGAGGCTCCAGCGGAACGAGCGGACAAGGTTCATCTCTGCTTCGGGTCCTCTGGGAGGCAGCCCGAGCAGGAGCAGCTCTCGGGGGAAGGGGCGGAGGGTGGCACCGGGTCCGCGGAGCTTTTCCCAGCCCAGGGTCCGCGTGGATCCCGAGGAGCGCGGGGTCACACCGCCCTCTGCCGGCACCACGGCGGCACCGGGGCTGTCCCCGGCGGGGACACACGGCCTGAGTGACCCAGGCACCGCACCCCGCACGGTCACAAGGCTGCGCTTCGCTCGGACAGCAGAACAGGGGATGTTTTATTTCATATGTTTTATTCCCAAAACAAAGCACGAACGACAGAGTTAACGCGTGGGAGACGACAGACTCAAAGCAGGTCTGAGATTAGCGGTGGAAGATGAATAAATTACACAAACAAGCAAGAAGTGGTTTGATGGAATGAGGGGCGTGGAGACCGGACGCTTCCCGGAGCGTGCAGTGCTTCCCAGAACCAAGCACCCGGCCAGGCACTGGAAGCATGAGGTGGCTGCTCAGCTCTTGACAGGGGTGGACGAGGCCTTCATGGTCTTCTTCAGGTGGTGGTAGTTGGGCAGGATCTTCATCAGGAAATCCAGCTGCAGCGTCTGGGGCTGGAAAGGGAGGTGGGAGAGGTGAGGGAACGGCCTGAGGGCAGCAGGCAGAGGGGCAGCCCAAGGGGGGACAGGAGGTGGCAGCGTGTCCCACACGCACCTGCGGCCGCTCGGTCTGCACGCGCCGCAGGCAGTCGGCCCCGTAGATGACGGTGTTCTCCGGGATCACCTCGTACGTGTTGACGTTGCAGCAGGCCCCGATGATGCAGCCGCTCGTCAGGATCACGTTCCTGCCAACAAACGCTGCCAGGCAGAGGGAGAGAGAGGGGAATCCCTGTGAGCCTTGTCCCCACAGCGTTTACAGGAGCAGAATCCCGGCCGAGAATTACCTTTGGATTCGATGACGTTGTTGTCTCCCACCTTCATGGCTTGGGAATCTACGGGTCTGTGTTAAGTAAAACTGTAAAACGCTTTGCTTTTTTTTTCCAACAGGTAAAAAACCCTGATGCCTTTTCCAAACCACCACCCAGCCCTGGGCTATTTGAACGCTGACAGAGCCCACAGACGCTTCCCTCTGGAGGGATCCAGAAGCGCAGTGGATGTGACAGGGGACGGTTTGTCACCGCACAGCAAGGATACAGCACCCGACCTCAAAAACGTTGTTGGTGCCGATGACCATGGGCTTGGGCTCCACATCTTCGCTCTCTGGGGTTATATTTTCTGGATAGCTGCAAGAAGGAAGAACGGATTCCCACGTCTGAGATCATGAAGACAGTGTTCTGTGTGGCAGCTCAACTTTGTGCCAGACTGGCTGAAGCCACAGCTATCCCACCCAGCAGAGCTGCACTGTCAGAATTTTGAGATTGTTTAGGATTAGAATTCTGCTACTCTGTCAGCTTGAGAAGGATTCAGCAGGGGGACTTAGCAACCAACCACTATCTGAAGGGGGCCTACAAGGAAGCTGGAGAGGGACACTTTGTCAGCAACTGGAGTGACAGAACAAGGAGTAATGGGCACAGACTTCAAGAGGGGAAAATTAGGTTACATGTATGTAAGAAAATCTTTACTGTGATGGAGGTGAGATAATCAATAGGTTGCCCAGGGCAACGCTGGCTGCCCCAATCCTGAAAGTGTTCCAGGCCAGGTTGGACAGCGATTGGAGCAACCTGGGATAGCGGAAGATGTCCCTGCCTGGGGCAGGGGGTGATACAAAATTATCTTTAGGGTCCCCTCAAGCACTTAACCTTTGCTAATGCTGTGCCTTCTCCCCAAGCCCCAGTGCCACACATGTACACAAAAGCACGACATTTGGTGATTTTTTTTAAAATAAACTCTGCCTCCCCTGGGTTTTTAAGCCCCCCAGCCCCCGAGTGTCCCACGAACCCATTGATGATGAGCGCCTGCTCCTCGATCAGGTTCCCTTCTCCGATGACGATCGGCCCCGCCTCGGCGATGATGCGGGCCTTGGGGTGGATGACAGTCCTGGGCCCTGCGGGGACAGCCCGGCGTCAGCCCGGGGCCGCCGCCGGCGGTGTGGCCAGGCGGGGCGGGGGACAGCGATGTCACACTTACCGATGGTCACATCCCCGCGGATCTCGCTCTCCACGCACACCACGGCCCCCGGAGCGATCTTCACGCTGCGGGGAGCGAGCGGGAGGTGACGGCGGCTCCGCCGAGGGAGGGGGGGCGGACACCCGGGGAGGAGAGAAGGCGTCCCGGGGTGGGTGTGGGAGGGATCGGGAGGGGAGAGAAGAGGGAGGGAGCGAGGAAGGAGCGGGACTCACCTCTTCTGCACCTTCTCCGCCATGGCCGCGGGCAGCGGCGCCTGCGCGGGGCGGAGCTCCGGGGGTGGGCCCGGCCCCCATCGCTCCTCCCGGAACCCCGGGAACCCCGGGAAAGGCCGGCAGCTGAGGAAAGGGGCTCGGAAAGCGGCTGGGCTGAGCCAGGAACCTGGAAAGAGAGACCGAGTCCCGTGTTTGAGGGCTCAGAGAGGGGTCTGCGTGTTCGTGCTTGAGAAACAGACACCAAGGCCCGCCTCTGGGGGCACCGGGCTCATGTGGGCCGTTTTAGGGTCCTGAAATAAATAAATCAGCCTTCTTTTTTTTTTTTCTTTTTTTTTTTTTCCCTCGGAAATGGAGACGAAGTCCTGGATTTTTCGGAGGGGGGTTGGGGCTCCAAGTCCTGCGTTTTTGACGCTTGGAACCAGCCCCCAGCCGGGCAGTATTTGGGCTGCGAAGCAGACTCCGCTCCTGTTTGGGGCGTGCGAAAGGAGGCTCATGCAGGCAGTTTAAGGCTTTGATCAGAGATCCAAAACCCTGAATTTTGGGGCTCAGGGCACGCGTCAGACTGAGGGGGCGGGGGGGGAGGAAACCCGAGGGGCTGAGCGAGGCTGCCCCGGGGCGGGGCCAGCTCAGGGCTGAGGGGCGGGGCCTCGGGGCGCGCGGCGGGGCCAGCTCAGGTGTGCGGAGTTCCAGGGCACCTGGCGCGGGGCTCCAAAGCGCCTGCGCGGGCCGGGGCCGAGGGCATTTGAACCCCGGAAGCGGAAGTAGGCGCCATTTGCGTCCTCAGGATGTGTTGGGGTCGGTGATAGCTGGTCCGGGCTCCCTCGGTGGGGCCCCAGGTGAGGTTCTTTCTGTCTTTTTTTCCTCCCTTTCCTACCCCTTACCCCTCTCCTCCCTAGTTCCCTATTTCCTCCGCTTCCTGCCCCTCTATGCACCTTAATGCCCCGCCCCTTCCCTCCTCCCTTTCTCCCTCCTTCCGCTGTTATCCAACCCGACCCCCCCCTCAATTTCCCCTCTACCTACACCTCCTTCCTCCACACCCAGCCTACCACTACACCCCTCTGTTCTCCTACAAACCCCGAATCCTGTCTCTATTCTTCCTTCTTCTCCCTCCATCCTCCCGCCCGTCCCGACCCTGCCTCCCGTTATCCTCGCCTGTGCCCCCTCTTACCCTCCCTGTCCCCCTTATCCTTTCTCTCTCGTCCTTATCCTTCCTCTCTCGTCCTCATCCTCCTTCTCTCGTTCTTATCCTCTTTCTCTCTGTCCCTTTCTCTCTTCCCCCGCAGCCGCGGGGCTCGGGGCGCCGGATAATAAAGCCCCGAGGGCCGGAGCCGGCGCTCCCGGCGGGAATCCCCGCACGGGGCCGGAGCCCGCGGTGCGGGTCCCCCCACGCACAACACGGCCCCACACTGCCGGG